AGAAATACAAAGGATCATTAACAAATACTATGAACAATTATACACCAACAAATTTGACAATATAGGTGAAATGGACAAATTTCTAGAAACACACAGTCTCCCAAAACTGAACTGGGAAGAGACAGAAAACTTGAACAAACCAATAAGAACTAAGAAAATTGAAGATGTAATCAAGAATCTCTCAGCAAACAAAAGCCTGGGCCCGCACAGCTTCATGGAGAAGTTTTACCGAACATTCAAAGAAAAACTAACACCCATCCTCCTCAAACTATTCCAAAAAATTCAAGAAGAAGAAAGACTTCCAAATGCATTTTATGAGGCCAGCATAATTCTAATACCAAAACCAGATAAAGACACTACAAAGAAAGAAAACTATAGGCCAATATCCTGATGAACATAGATGCTAAAATTCTTAACAAAATATTAGCAAATTGAATCCAGCAATACATTAAATAAATTGTTCAGCCACGACCAAGTGGTGTTCATCCCAGGGATGCAAGGCTGGTATAATATTCGCAAATCAATAAATGTGATAGACCACATAAACAAAATGAAAGATAAAAATCATATGATCATATCAATACATGCTGAAAAAGCATTTGACAATGTTCAGCACCCATTTCTGATAAAAAACACTCAGCAATGTGAGAATACAGGGATCATATCTCGATATAATAAAGGCCATATATGAAAAACCTACAGCCAACATGATACTCAGTGGGCAAAAACTAAAAGCATTTCTCTTAAGAACAGAAACAAGACAGGGATGCCCACTTTTGCCACTCTTATTTAACATGGTACTGGAAGGCTTAGCCACAGCAATTAGACAAGAAGAAAAAAATAGGAGGGATCCAAATTGGAAAAGAGGAAGTGAAACTGTCATTATTTGCAGATGACATGATATTGTACATAGAAAACCCTAAAGACTCCAACAAAAATTGACTAGATTTAATAAATGAATTTGACAAAGTAGCAGGATACAAAATTAGCATCAAGAAATTGATGGCAATCTTATACACCAAAAATGAACTCACAGAAAGAGAAACTAAAAAACAATCCCATTTACCACTGCAGCAAAAAACTAAGATACCTAGGAATAAAGTTAACTAAAGAACTAAAGACCTATTTGCAGAAAACTACAGGACATTGAAAAAAGAAATAGAGGAAGATATAAAAAGTGGAAGCATATACTTTGATTATGGATTAGAAGAATTAACATCATTAAAATGTCCAAACTACCCAAAGCAATTGATAGATTCAGTACAATCCCCATTAATATACCAATGACATATTTCACAGAACTAGAACAAATACTCCAAAAGTTTATATGGAACCAAAAAAGACCTTGAATAGCCACAGCAATCTTGAAAAAGAAGAACAAAGTAGGAGGGATCACAATACCAAATATCAGGCTATACTACAAAGCCATTATAATCAAAACAGCCTGGTACTGGCACAAGAACAGGCATATAGATCAATGGAACAGAACAGAGAACCCAGAAATTGACTCAAGACATTATGCTCAATTAATATTTGACAAAGGAGGCAAGAGCAGGCAATGGAGTAAAGACAGCCTCTTTAATAAATGGTGTTGGGAAAATTGGACAGCTACGTGCAAAAATATGAAACTAGTCCATCAACTTACACCATACACAAGAATAAACTCAAAATGGATAAAAAACTTAAATGTGACTTGTGAATCCATAAAAATCCTAGAAGAAAATGTAGACAACAACATTTCAGACATCACACACAGCAGAATTTTCACTGATAACAATGCCTCAGGCAAGAGAAACAAAGGAAAAAATAAATACACAGGACTACATCAAACTAAAAAGCTTCTGCACAGCAAAAGAAGCAAGCATCAAAATGCAAAGGGAATCCACTATATGGGAGAGCATTACTGCCAACCATAGATCAGATAAGGGGTTAATTTCCAAAATATAGAGAGTACTCGTACAACTCAACAAAAGGAAAACAAAGAACCTAATTAAAACATGGGTAGAAGACCTAAATAGACACTTCTCCAAACAGGACATACAAGTGGCCGAGGGAAATATAAAAAAATGCTCAATGTCCCTAATCATCAGAGAGATGCAAATTAAAATGACTAGCAGGTATCACCTCACACCTGCCAGAATAGCTGCCATCAACAAATCATCAAACAACAACTACTGGCGAGGGTGTGGAGAAAAGGGGACTCTTGTACACTGCTGGTGGGAATGCAGACTGGTGCAGCCACTATGGAAAACAATATGATATTTTCTCAAAAAATTAAAAATTGAATTGCCATTTGACCTAGTGATCCCACTTCTAGGAATATACCCTAAGAAGCCTGAAACACCAATAAGAAAGAATATATGTACCCCTATGTTCATAGCAATACTATTTACAATTGCTAAGATCTGGAAATAGCCCAAGTGTCCATCAATAGATGAGTGGATAAAAAAAGCTGTGGTACATATACACAATGGAATACTATGCAGCTGTAAGAAAGAAAGATCTCTTATCCTTTGAGACAACATGGAGGGACCTCGAGAGTATCATGCTAAGAGAAATAAGCCAATCAGAGAAAGACAAATACCACATGATCTCATTTATTTGCAGAATATAATGAACAAAATAAGCTAGTGAACAAAACAGATCCAGAGACATAGAAAGGAGTACAGTTCAGACTGATCAGAGGAGGGGTGCAGGGTGGGGGAGGGGAAGGAGGAGGGTTGAGATAAACCAAAGAACTTATATGCATATATGTGTAACCAGTGGACATAGAAGACTATGCTGTGGGGGTTGGGGGGTGGGCTCGAGAGGTAGGTGTCTTGGGGGAAAAAAGGGGAAACATTTGTAACAAAAATAAATTAATTAAAAAAGAAAAAATCAATTTTAAGAAATGAAAGAAAAAGCCACGATTATGTTGGCTTTATGAAAAAAAAAGAAGTGTAAATTGGAAAATGGAAGTACTCAGAGTCAAACAGAACTTTTAAATATTTTATAATATAATATTTTAGAATATTAACATTGTAATAGAGGGATTGTATATTGTATGATCTTGGACAAGATATTTAACCTCTCTAGGTTACAGTTTCCTCATCTTTAAATATGGAATGAAAAATGCCCATCCCTTAGCATTGTCATAGGAATTAAATTTAAAAAGTATTAAATAATTAATATAATTTCTGGTTCATAATTGGTGCCACAACATACTAGTTCCAAATGTTTTGGAAAATGTCAGTAACCAAGTTCTCTGCACTTTATGTCCTCATCAGGTAAAAAGCATCTGGAGCAGAGTAGATGCATAACGAATGGTTATGGAAGAAGTGGGGGAGGGAGACAGTGAATAAATGTGGAATTCTACTGAAGCAACTCTACAGCTGATTCCAACAGCCCCTGCTTTTGCCAATCTTTCTGAGTGACTTCATGTGTCTCTTAACTTCTCCAGTCTCCTAATTCCCCTGTCCATGAAATGGGTTGGTTTTCATTACAACCAGAAGGACTAGCTAATTAGAGAGGACTATACAGATCCTGGGATCTAAGACCCTTGGAGAGAGGACTGGGGGGGGGGGGGGGAGCAGGGCAAATACGTGATCCAGCAGCCCGCCAGGCCTGGAGGAGCTCATCTGGGACAGCAACCCAGCTTTCAGAGCTTGACCCAGGTTCCCAGGATAGGCACTGGTGAGGTGGAAGGTGAGCTGTTTCTCCAGCCTCAGTGTGACGGAAGAGAAGCCACTGCTCCAGGGACATCCAGAGGCTGGGGTCCGAGGGCCCCAGGACACGCGTGCATGGCACAAGCTGGAGCTGTGGGCAGTTGAAGCCTGAAGGCTGTCCTCACTGCCCTGTCCTCGGCTGGTCGCCTCCCGCAGGGTCCTCAAGGATAGACCCCCAGGGCCCCTTCCACCACCCCCTCTCCTAGGCCAGTCCCTGGAGCGCCGAGCGCCCACCCTCGCACGGAGGGAAGGCCATGCCCTCCGCCTTGTCTTCTTTCTGAAAGAAGGTGGTGCGTCTGTTGGCCAGGGCCCCTTGCACTGCTTGCGATGCCAGAACCCGATCTGGCCCCCTCCCCGGGCGCCGGCCAGCTCAGCTCTGCCCGGATCTGCAGATGGGCTACAGTAAATACTGACCGCAGACCGAGCAGGAGCCAGCGCCGAAGGCCGCGGGGCAGCCTTCGGGCCAAGGTGGCTGTGCTGCCCACAGGCGGAGTCAGGAGCGCGACAGCCCAGGGCTCCTGACGGGTAGCTGGCTGCCAGGTCCGCTGCCCGCTCGGTCGGTGGGGAGCTTCGTGCTGACAACACCAGACAGGGAGGCCGGGAAGAGGGGCGAAGGAGAAAGGAAAGGAAGGAAGGAGGAGGTGAGAGGGGGAGAGGCAAGAAGAATGTAAATACGAGGGGGAGAGCGCAGATCTGCGAGAAATGGAAGCAGAGAAGAGTGTGTGAGCGAGGAGAAGAGATGCGAGAGCCGGGAGAGGTCAGAGTGGGAACAGAGCAGACGAGGGCTCCTCCCTGGGCCCTGGCGGGTGTCGCCGACCGTCTCCTACGGAACCGACCCTACGCGGGGCGGCCCCACGGCCTCTGCGCGCCCGAGTCCCCGCTGGCCCGAGGTGCGGCCCTGCGCCGCCCACTCCCCGCCACGCACCCCAGCGCTGGGGGGGCGGGCGCGAGCGAGGAGGGAGGGGCTGCCGGGAGGAGGCGACCATGTGGCTCCAGCTCACTCTGTTTTTCCCCCCTCTTTCTTCACTCCTTTTTCTTCCCAAACAGGGAAAAGTGTTCCGCGAGCGGTAGCGTCTGTCCGCCCCGCTTTTCCGCCCTGACCCTGGTCCCCGCTCGCGTCTGGACGCCAGCCGGTGGGGCGCGCGCTGAAAGCCCGTCTGCGACCGGGCGCGGGGCGCGGGGCCGCTCCGGGCGGCACATGGCCGCAGCCACCCCGCAAGCACCCGCAGGCGCCGCGCCCAGCTCGCCGAGGTCCGTCGGCTGCGCCCCGCCACCCCGGAGCCAGGCAGCGGCTGAGCCAGGAGGTACCCGCGCCGGGCGTCGGGATGACCCTCCTCCTCCTCCTCTGGCTAGGTGAGTGCCTCTGGGGGGCGGGGGACCAGAGGGCCCGGGGAAAACACACTCGCGTGTCCGGGACAAACGCGGGCTCCGGACGGTTGTCCCGCAGCCCCTGGAGGCAGCCGGACTCCTCTGCTCCGGCCTCCTGGCTGCCGAGGCGCACATCTGGCCATGGAGCGGACTTGGGGCTGGAGGTGGTCCTGGTCCGGTTCGGCTGTGAACAGTTTGATGTGGAGGGTCTCTTGCTTGGGGCGGGCGGGGGGGGGGGGTTAGTTTCAGGAGTATCTGCGGAAACTGGAGAATTGGGGGAGGGAAGGTTTCTTCAGGAATTTTTGTGCCAGGTTCCTGAGGGTGGGGAGGGGGGGAGGTTCTGTTTCAACAGGCGCCTCCAGGGCCCAGATTGGAAACAGATGTGTTGCAGGGTCAGAGGAAGGGAAGAGGGGAGAGATGGGGAGAGGAAGGGAGGAGGGGAAAGGGGCAGAGCACCAGGAGAACTAGGAAGGTGCAAACTCGAAAATGACCCAGGGAAGGAAGCAGAGAAGGACAAGGATTGGAAGGGAAGAGAAAAGAGGACAATGGGATAGGGAGAAGGGCAGGACTCGGGGAGACTGAGCAAAGAGAGTGGGAAGAAGACAGAAGAGAGGGAGTGGAAGAGCACAGCAGAGAGAGACAGGCTCTGGGGCAAAGAGAAGAGCCCTCCTGTGTCCCCGTGTCGCCCAGGCAGGATTCTGAGGCCTAAGAGGCCCTCAGACAGATTCCCTGGGCTGCAAGAGGCGGGTTTGCAGGACAGGGCAGGACAGTACACATCAAGGGTGTGTGCACGCAGGAGCTGACAAGAGGGAGAGCGAGCGTGAATACCTGAGATGCCAGGGGTGGGAGAGCAGGCTAAAAGTCAAGGTACGCAGGAGCCGAGTGTGGGTTTCACCTGGAGACAGGACCAAAAGTTACCAGGATTCAGAGCACCGAAGAGCCAGCCTGCTGTGGCGGCTGAGCACTACCCCGGACAACAGGCCACTGGAGAACTAGCCCTGGTTTTAAACTGAGTAGCTAGGTGACCTTGGACAATGTGTTCTCTACTCAGAGCTGCTATTTCCTTAGGTCCAAAACTGGACCACGACATGGTTCCTAAGTCCTTCCTAAGTCTGAGTTTGGCAGGCCTGATATCTAGAAAAACCTCTAAATAAAAGTGAAAGGCACTAAAAGTGACCCTGAAATAGCTGTCTAGAAAGCTCCCTATCTCTCTTTTGTCTCCTCGCTCCCCTTTTCTTGAAACCTTATAAACCAACGCGGGCATATGCATGCCTGTCCAGGCCAGCCTCGAGTCGGTAACCACCCAGGTGAGAGGGCTAAGGGAGGCGGACCAGCCAGAACTATTGCTCAAGTAGCAGGTGAGGAGCCCCTCTTTTCTGAGCTCTTTTAGATGCTGGCCAAGCGTTGCAATCTTTCCTGTGCACAGCTGGTATATCTAGATAGCAACTTGGTCACCTTAATTGTCCTCTACCCCTAAGCTACCAGTCACCAGATGTTCAGTAGACTCAAACATCAGAGGTGCCTTATTAAAAACAGCTGGAATTCCTTAAGTACTTATTATGCTGAGCATTTTATATGTACCATCTTGTTAACTCGTTTATTTTTATGCGAACCCTATTGGCTACCCACTTTATTATTCCCATTTTATAGATGAAAAAAGCAAGGTAGAAAGAGGTCAGATAACTTGCTCAAGGCTATAAGCTCATAATTCGCAGAAATGGGATCTGAATGTAGGTTGTCTGCCTCCAGAGACTGCTCACAAAACCACCATCCGGTACCACCACCTTCATCATTCGGAAGGACTCGCAAAGATGTTCTCTGTAGGGAAGTGCAGGGGAGTCGTCTACATGGAGCTTGAGATGTCAGTATGATCCTGCCCTGTCGGAGGGGTGTGGGGGCAGAGAAACAAAGCACCTTTGGGCAGTTTATAGTGGAAAGTGAAAGGTGGCTTTGGCCTACGAGGTCAGTTGAGATCAGCTGGCCTTGATGATGGTTCTCCTCCTGATTCATGAGGAAGAGGAACTGACCAAGAGGTGGATCAAAGGTGTCACTGGCTCATTGCTTTTCCCTGTTCGGTGCCTACTACATGCAGTCATTCCTCTGGTGAGAGAGTTATCTGCTGGGCTAACGCTCTGTCTTCATAGAAGCTGCCCCTCATGGCTTCTTCCTTGGTTCGGTTTTTATAAATCGTTACAAACTGAAAGCTACGTAGAAAAGAAATGTGGAGTGCTGTCCTAGACTTCTGCAGAACGGGAAGCTCAGCATTCACACCTATGTTAAGCTTTGCCACATCTATGCCTGTGTCAAACATACTCAGACTCATGACATCCCAGCTCTAAGTTGATAAAACTGTTCAAGTAAAAAGTCACAGAGGAGATGAGCTGAAGGTCAGGACAAGGGACAAGGCAGGAGACCTGAGATGAGGTTGGTAAATCAGAGACAGGCATTGGAGGGGAGCAACACTGAAGGAACTGCTCTGTAGTGATATCCCCACATGGGCCAGAGCCCTTGGGGACACACTCCGATGGGCTGGATGACCCTTATTTGCAAAGTGGCTTTGGGCCCTGGTCTGCCTGGGCACCCTTAGGAAAGCCAGAAAGAAAACCCTCAGAGTTGCCTGAATCCTAAAATCATCAACTGATCCCTTGAAGGAACGGTTCCAGGGCTGCCTCTGGCCTCTTTTCTAGAGAATGCACAGTATTTCAAGGGAGTCAGAGTGCTAAGAGTCTGAAGGTTGAACAAAGATGGACCAGTCGACTCCCTGCTTTCTGGACCTGCCAGTGAATCAAATCAAATACCTACCTCTCTGACATGAATGAAAAATTACTACCATGAACCCTAAAGAAGAGAGTGAAGGGAGACTTCCTGGGCTCCCCAAACCCCAACCCCTCGTCCGACTACCCCCTGCACCCTCCTCCTAAAGCGCAGGTGCTCGTCATTCTACCTGAACTTTTCTCCTGGACTTCTGTAATAGCTGCCACACGGTCTCTTTCCTGAAGTCCCTTCTGTGTCCTGCACACTTCTGTCAGGGTAACCTTGTAAAACAGTGTTACAACGCAAAGAATTCGGATTAGCGATCTGGCAAGCACTCTTGGTTCTTGTTCTGACTCCCTTGTCTGTAAAATGGGGGTGGAGGGAACTCGAGTTCAACATTGCTATAATTTTATGATCTTACTCCCCTCTTCCATAAACCTGTGTTAGTCTCCATTGCTTATAACATTGAGTACAAACACTTCATTCTCATATTGGCGATTTTATAGAATATTGCTCCTCTCCCCTCCTCCCTGCCCCCAGACAACTCCCCAGAGAACCTTGATTACTTCTTGTGCCTCAGACGTGTCCCATGTTTCTTTCAGTGCTGTTTTTGTTTATGACGATCCCGCCACCAAAACTGCCCTCTGACTGTGCACCTACAGATCAAAATCTTGTTTACCTCCGTCTCACCTCAAATACCACCCCCTCGGTACACCCATCCATGGTACACCAGAATGTATTCACCAACAGAATACATTGTCTCTTCTTCCTTGGAATCCCAGCAGCCTTTCTGTTCCGCTCCGTCTGCAGTGTGGTGATCTGAAGGCGTATCGACACCTCGGTTAGAATGTGGGCTCTGTAGACGGGGACAGCCTCGTTCCCTGTGCTGTGCCCACACTCAGCGCCTTCGAGGAACTAAAAGCTTGTAAACTGTTGGTTAAGGCAAATGGGTTTTTGAAACATTTAGAACATTTAAAGTGAAGATGAACACGTCAAGTCAAGGTGAAAGATTTGGAGAAGTATTACCCTGTGGGATGACACAATTGTGGGGGCCCAGTTTTAACTCAGCTTGTTCTGTTTCCTTTGCCACGGACACAAAAGAGGATCAAGACTGTTTTCTTAGTTATACATAGAACATTACATGGCGGGGACCAGATATCATATTAGTTGTACAAACTGACTTTGTTATGTCGCGTATGTTAGCACCAGATTAGCAATAGACTTTTTCATTGACACTTCTGCCAGGATGGGGAAGGAGCTTTTCCCCAGAAAATGAGTTTAAGGAAGGCTTGTAGTTTAATGACAGGTCTCAGTAGGATTCATTGTTCTTGCCTCCTCTTCCCACATTAATGATGATGGTCTTGATAACGATAGATGCCCAGTAGGCACATACCATGTCTCTTCCTCTTTCTATCGTGTGCTCATCTGGGCAGTATACATATGAGTATATTTCATGAATGTACCTAATGGTGATGACCTAGACAGAGATTTTTAAAATGTGAAGTCAAAGATTGTCAGAAATGGAGAAAAGCTAAAAGACTGTCTAACTCTGGTTTGGAGAGATCTGGCTAACGTTAAACAGCTAGCTCAGTGAGAGGGCCAGGCCTGGACCCCAGTTCCATGATCTAGCCAGTCGCACATTCTTGAAATAGAAAATGTCTCTTTCTCCTTTTCAGCTCATGGAGTTAAGCTCTCAGATCACAGTTGCTCTTCAGAAGCTTCATTAAATGAGCTAAATGCTGAGTAATTGGCGTGGTTTTTATGTTGAGAAATTGCCTGAAAAATAGGGCAGATGTCGTAACACTTCAGTTTGGTCATCATAACTGGAAATCCTGGAAGTTTCTGCAGAGCCCTGTATGGCTGATGTTTTCAGGATGAAGAGATTATTCCCAAAGTCCCAAAGACGTGGGTGTGTGCCTGCAAGACAGTGAAAACTCAATAGCTTTGTCTCCTTCATAATTTTGCTGGGTTATTCTGGGCAAGTCATAGCACTCAGATCCTCAGTTTCTTTTTTTGTAAAATGAGATTATTAGACTGAGATTATTTTCACATTTTCTATACCACTAACATTCTCTGATTTGTTTTAAATTCTGAGAATGTGTGAGCTAGTCTAGACGTGTTTGTGATTGGAAACACAGGATGTCACCATACTTAGCTGATATTTTCAGGCATTTATCCACTCACAGCAATTGGTCGCTTACGACTGTAAATCCAGAAGGACCGATAGCGAG